GAATTAAGCGCCTTCGAAATTAAGCTAAAGTCAATTTGCGTGAAACTTAAACTTCATGATCAATATTTCAATAATGATGCGAGGTTTCTATTATCATTTTAGAAGTACAATATCATATCATGCATCTTTAAATTTTATACAGAGGTTTACAATCCACCCCTTAAAGAAAGTTTTGTCCTTAAACTTTATCATCTACTTGGTCTATTTAAATTCAATTAGCCACAATATCTCAACGTCTACTCTTCCTTTAAGTATCAAATTCAAGATCAGAATAGAATATCATATTCTAAATTTTAAATTCATCCATTCAACTTACCATCATTGCAATTTTTAAAAGTCCTCAATATTATATTTATCCTCAATTTTCAACCATCCACTATCCGCAATAATTCTATGTGATTGTTCGAACTAATTCATATCATCAACTTAATTGTCAACTTACAGCTCCATGCCAGCTCTTCGGATCGTGTCCATCTAAAAAAGAAATTTGGAGACCAGAGAAGCTCTGTGGGTTGACCCTCCTCCAATTGTTAAGTCAATAAAAGACCCAAAGGAATGTAGGCTATTGAAAGCTTAAAGTGGCATACCTATTGTGTTCTCGTAGAGCTTTATTTATAGGTATGAGGAGTTAGAATCCTCCTGAGAGTGGTCTATAGTCTCCCTTATTAGTTGGTTAAGAGGATGAGAATCCTTCTAGGAGGCGACTCTAGTCTTCCTCATCAATTGGTTAGGTGGTTAATAATCCTCCAAGGAGATGACTCCAGTCTCCCTCATCAATCTTTCTCTAATTAATGATTATCCTCAATCTTCGGTCATTATAGTGATCTAGAAGCTCCTTCATGCAGGACATGATTGACTAGGGCATGTTGTATGGCTAGCCCTGAAGGATGACTCTTTTCTAAGCACTTTCCTGTCCATGTTGGGCTCTTAAGGTGTACCGAGCTAAGCTCATTCAACAATGATCTTTTTAGGCAGGCTATTTTTCATGTCTAATTTTCCCATCATCAATACTAGTTGACGAGAGAAAAATTAGCTAACACCTTGGGCAAGATTCTAGCATAGGGAGCCCCATATAAAAGTTACCATTGAGAGAGTTGTAAATTTACGACTTTGGCAGGATTAGCTTTGAGTTGCGCCAGTCCTAATAATCAGCTCCGCCCCACGTGACTGACCCTTGATATAAGACCAGGAGATAAGATACAAATAATTCAAAAATTGAATGACTTGGTCAACGAGGGTTATCAGATTGAAGAAAGGAGTTAAGACCCCCTCATCCTAAAGGAGTCTCAAAATCCTTTATCAGCGGATTAGAAAGTCAAAGACTTCTCATATGAAAGGAGTCTTGCTTGCTCAAAAGGCTGACTAAGGTGCTTAGACTCCTCTGACAAATGGTGGCTCATCTCCCAACATTGGATAAGGGAGTTTAGAGTCCACTCCCAAAGGAAACTAATTCCAAAATTATAGAAGAAGTTGGGAGGAACATAAAAGGTGCGCAACTTAGAGCTCCTCCTAGAGCTCTAGCAATTGATGTGAACCCTCAAAAAATTGATGGGGATCCCTAGAGAGTTGAAGTGGAGGTGAACAGACTTCAAACACCTGGAGGTTGATGCAAATTTTGCTCCAACATTTTTCATTTTTGTGAATAAAAGAATATTAGTGAATCGCACGATTTTATTTACATATATCCAATATAAAATTGTTTCTTTATAAGCTAGCACGTCACTACCAAGGTGCGAGACTTTCTTTTTTTCCCCAATAAGTCAGGTCTTGAGATTTCCCTCATATTAAACTACTTACTAGGATATTTGGTTGGCCACATTAGGTGGTGGGATTGGGTAAAATAATTCGAGAGACAATAAACCTTAACTTTCGTTCGTCAGGGTTCAGAATAAGTCAAAGATGTTAATTCTAGCCTGACGTGGATAGTACTATCAAATACATGTAATGATTGAACTTTTTTTGTGAATCTTATTTCCATCTTACAAATTAAAGAGTGGTGGTATACAGGAATTATATTGGATTGGGTTGGATGGGATAATTTGGAACCCCATCTATTCACTCCATTGCATAGCCAAACGTGGCATTGGACTATTTTACTTCAACTCCAATTTAATTATCCAACTGGTATGGATTGAATTGGTGTAGGATATTCCAATCCAATTCCACCTAATAAAAACAACCAAACAGGCCCCCACGGACAAATGAACAAACTGTACATTGCAACGTGGGATGCATTGCATGCCAAGTTGGAGTATTTTAAAGATGGATGAAGGGGCCCACCATTCACATGCAAGGCGTTTTTGCATGAAAACCCTCCCAACAACAATTGTTTCCACTCACGTGCCAATTTAATGAGGGGGTAAAGTATTTAAAGGTTTTGTGGGCCCCAATCTCCTCAATCAAAATTGCCTACCGGAAGCTACAGGCCACCCACAATTAACAATCCTTGCAGGAGAATAGAAGAATATGTTTATCATTCCATTCGTATAGAGAATCATTTGGTAGTTGCTATGTCCTTGTCAGATTTATGGAAAGATTAATTATAGTTGTTACCTCTAAAGCATCATCCTTTTTTTTTTTAATAATTTCATCCTCTAAGTTACTCAATTGTGCTTAATGAGATAAATTGATAACTATCTTTGAACTATCTTTGAAATATTAGATGAAAAATGGCATGTTTGCACGCTTACACTTCTTCTCTTCTCTTCTCTGAATGCTCCAAACTAGAAAAAAAATATTGAGTGTAACGGTAATATTATGTCGTCGTTGTGATATAATGTCATTATCTAATAAAAATATAACAAATAAGTAGGTGGATCCCACATATTCTAGTAACTATCATGTCATGTCATTTAATAACCACTCAAGGGAGATTCTCTTTACCCATTTGATTATTTATTATTTAAATAGTGATATCACGTGTCAATAGTGACGTAATGTCACAGTATACTTAATGTTTACTCACAAAATTAGAACCCTACTCTTCCCTGAGGACTTGGATGCTAGACATCCCCGATGACTTTGGATATGGTGTGCTAAAAGTCCCGAAATGAGGAAAAGCTATAGGGAAGAACTCTTGTGCACCAAAGCTGAAAAAGTCATTTTCCCTTTCTCTAATAATAAGGTAAAGTTATGAAACATTTTAAAGTATGAAATTTTGTTTTGCAGCTGAATCGTGCCTTTTGCTATTGTTCGGTCGCCACCACCATTTTGGACCCCATCTCCCCTTTCCCCACCTCACCCACACACCTCAAAAACCCCTCCAATGTTGTCTACCCAACCCCCTCAACCATCCCCATCCTGAACCTCTCCCCTTCCCCCAATCCACATCCCACTGACACCCCCCTCTGTCTCATAGTGTGTGTTTATCATTCCGCAACATCTATTCCTTCTTGTAACCAAACACCATAGTAATTGCTACCGGCATTGAGTATTCCATACCCACTCAGCAACAATGGCTAACAATTTACATATAATTTTCGGCATTCCACAACACTGACATTAAATTGAATCATGATCAAGTTCTATCTACTGGTAATCCCACACAAGACCTACATGTATTCGAGTGAATACGAGGGCTTTATCTCCTTTGAACAAAATGGCAAGGGAAGCATATTCTATATGTAGAACTTATTAAAATCGAACCACCTACCCCCTTTCTCTCTCATGAACATTGAATTTGAATAACACGAAAACGACAGTTGCGTTTTATGGATTGACTTTGCAATGTGTTTGACACAACAGGTTGTAAAACTTAAAAAAGCTTAGGGGTAAAAGTGTAATTAAATTTTCTTTGCTCTTGTCCACCCAATGCCCCTAATTATACAAGTTGAAAGTGCATAGCATTCTATATGGCAATTTTGGGTGGTAGTAAGTGATTTTTGGCATCACTTCATTTGAAGATCAAGTTTTTTTTCAGTCTGATTATATTATTTCCACCATCCATTCTATTGGAGAAAATATTCATTGTAATTGTGATACCACATTATCAACAAAACATGGTATTACTAATCAATTATAATATATTATGTGCATGTAATGGATTACACTATTTTAATAATCTTTAATATCAATGGGCCTTTGGTTCAATGGTATACTCCTTATACCTTGTGAAGATTTTACCTTTATAATGTCAATGTTGACTAATTAACACTTTGGAATAGTAAAGTTTATTTATCCTACATGGTGTATTATTATTATTAACTAGTGATACTACGTACCACTGATGCAATGAATATTTATTCGTTTCATTGGCCTTCTGCTTCTCTCGCTGTACAAAAGCAAAAAAGAACCTTTATTTTCATAATTTTCAATTTTTGGGCTAAAGCCCAAACTACACTAGACAAGCATCCATGAAGGCAACATGGCCCTTGCAGCCGCTCCAGCCCATTTGGCTAGACTTTATTGTCATAGCCCATCACATTATTTTAGAGTTTCTGGTGGTTGGTCCAATTTGAGACAATTTTTTGTCTAAAAGTTTAACAAAGCGTTCTTTTAGATCTTAAAAGATAATTGAATTTATAATAATTAATTTAATTTTAATAAGATAATTGGATAATAATATAGGACAGTGATTTCGGACAATCTATCCAATTTCAACTGAAGACATGGAACTACACAGTGACATTGGACCAAACTTCGGCCCAATGAAAATTGTGAGAGCAATGTCATTCAACTCGATGATGGACACTATACATACTAATCTATGATAGGCAGTGAAACAAGACAGGCTCAGCAAAGTAGCGGACTTACCGAAACTCGATTTGTTTTTGATCCAAATTGCAATGGTTGCATAACCCAAGTCGAGAGAGGACACATATGCAATGGACCAATGCTGAATTATTTGCATCTACACCAATCTGCAGCCTGCACATGAAAGAATGAGAGAGAGAGGGAGAGCAGCGAAACCCTCTGTTCAGACCGAAAACACAAGAAATTTCTTAGATCTCATCAATTTTCTTGTGAAAAAAAATGAAAATGAAGCAATACAAACAATGTCTTCATCGTTCAGCGGCTATGACACTGTTCCGTTCCTCGACTTTCATGACTACAGCTGCTGCCCTCATCTGTACTCACCAATGAAAGATGCACTTCACTTCCAAATGTTTTTATTGCGTTAACCTTAAGTACAAAAATGTAAATAAAAAAATATTTAATTTTTTTGCCTAGTTGCCCAAGACTCTTTTTTTATTATACTTTGCTTGCACCACCGACACTCTATTCTGTTTTGCTTTAAAAATAAAATATTACTTTGCTATCTTTCCCTGAGCTCCAAGACAACTGAACCAACTCCCTAAGAAGAGCCATTAAGAAAGAGAGATCTATTTAAAGGAATTCGTGTTAATTGTTTGGACTGAGTGACAGTAAAAGTATCCTAAAATTGTCCTTAAAGCACTAAAAGATTCAAACTTGTACATTTTATCATAAAAGATGTGTAAAATGTACTTCTAATATTCACTTGTTTTTTAAAAAAAAAAAAAAAAAAAAGAAAACCATTGTCCATCAGATTTTAAGTAAATGACTCTTGCCAAAGTAACAGGCATTAATGCCTCTAATAAAAGCTATTAAAAAATTCAATGAAACCTGAACTCAATTGAGGCAAAAGAAAAGGTTAGAAAGCCAAAAGTCATCTAAAAATTCAGTCAAACCTGAACTCTATAGGGAATAGTTAAGCTTCCTCTTCATGAATCCATGCCATATATCAACCATAAGTAGGTAAACCACAATTCTCTGTTCAAGTGTCCAGTCTCCAATATTACAATAACAACCCTGTCCCCATTTTTAATTCCAGTGGTCCTGTTTGAGGGCATTGGTCCTTTTCTTCCTGTGAGGCCCGTGCAACTGCAGAAGCAGCGAGTTGGTGACAACAAATATTGAGCTCAAAGCCATCAGCCCGCCTGCGGGGGAAGAAAAACATTACAAAGTTAAAATATACCTTACAGAATACCGGTGCACATCAGTTCGGATGTAAATCCTAACAATAAATTTTTTTTCAAAAACCCGGGTTTTCAAATGAGAGGTGCCTTGTTACTGGGTGAAACCATGGGGGAGTGTAAAGTATATAATTATTTAACATTTTGTATAGAATATTTATAACCAATATTACTTGAACAAAAACGACACACCAAATTTTCGGTAGAATGATCTGGTGTATTCTAGAAACTTACTGCTGTGCACATAAGTCAAAGACAAATTTTCAATCCTATTTCCACGGAGGAATACTGAAATTTTACCGACCTGAAACCGAAGGTGTCATGGCAACATCAAAATGGGGAAGCAGTACTCCAGCTGCAATGGGTATTGCAACGACATTATATGCTATTGCCCATGACAAATTTTGATGAACTTTTGCCATCGTTGCTTGTGCAAGATCCAGTGCATCTACCACCTGCCACAAACATGAACCGACTGAGACCTATGTAGATAACTACAAAGTTCTGGTGTTTAAGAAAACAAGAAATGGGGAAAGGTCTATGAGGATCGTACTGTTGTTTTACGTGATGAATCATAGTAAATGCACCTAATTTTTAAGAGGCATGTGTGAGGGAAATCATCGTATCTGCTGCAAATAATTTGATCATGTAATGTATTATAGCTTGACCTCTTTACATTTGGCAGTAGGTGGTATTTGATTTCCCTTTTTTCTGACACTAGAAGGAATTCTACTCGTGAAAACAAAACTAAGTCCCTACATTTAATATATTCTACATTTCCTTAATCATTTTTCTTTGGTTCCTTTGAAGAGGTAATAGTGAAGATCTCGATCAACTTAAAGGATGACACGCTATATGCATGAATCAATCAATATAAGTCAGATGACATGAAATAACTTACCTGCGAAAGCCTATTTCCAAGAAGAATGATGGATGCAGCATTAGATGCGGCATTTTCCTGTCCTTCAACTTGCAAAGCAATCCCGACATCAGCAAGAGCCAAAGAGGGTGCATCATTAATGCCATCACCAACCTTCATAAGTACAAGAAATGTCAGTTTTACAGAAATCCCAGTGGTCTAGAGTACTAGAAATGTATAGGTTGCTCGTTCGAAAGTGGTCCTATACGTAAGCCAAGTACAGCTTAATGTTGGTTTTCCAAAATTAAGGTTTTTCTGGAAAAAGTTTAACAAAGAGATCAAAGCCAAAGGATCTCAGTTGGTAAAACCGAAAGAACCTGAAACTAAGAAGCGCAAAGACCACCGGGAAAATGTTACCACCTTCCCACCATTGGATTTAAGCAATTAGAGAAACCAAAAGGGAGAGAGAAAGGAAATTAGATTATTTCCAACAACCTTTGGCGTCTTACAATGTCTTCTAGTGTCTATGGTCCCAAAAAGCGAAAAGTCCTTATATCCTCTCTTTAAAGGATTGTTGTCAATTATGTTTTAATGAATTTAGTTTTATCAAACGACAAAAGCCCTCGTGTAATTATCTTGTGGAGTAAAGTGATGTTTGATGTTCGTGTCCCACCTCATTGATATTTGTGAACTTCTTTGATATGTGATTTGATTTAAATAACTTAAGTCTATAACTATATTTTCTTGTGGATATCAATTTGCACCCACCTTATTTGTGTTCTACTTTTTCAAAAAATTTGTTAACACGTGCCATTGTCATCTTGTATCCGAGTGTCTTGTGTCCATATCCTTCTTAGCTCTGAGCAATATAAGTTCTAATGATAAAGCTGTTTAGTAACTTGAAGAACCCATTCATGAGCTCATAAAAACTTTTCAGTTGAAATGCCATTGTGGCTGCTAAATTGGTCTGGAAATGGTGCCTCCTTGACATGATCAGAACTTGAACTCAAAGAATCAAGTTACATTTACAGGTGACGAGCAGCATCTATAGTAACCTATATTGGATTGTATATGTTGAAATATGATTCCAGAGGATAGGTGTTCTGACATGAGATAATTACCATTGCAACATGATGGCCAGAAGCTCGAAAAGTTGAGATGATGCCAGATTTCTGCTGTGGAGTCAAGGATGCATTGATCAGTTCACTTCGTATTCCAACTGTCTTTGCTACAGTTGCAACTGCCTCTTCCCTGTCTCCTGATAGGAGGACTGCTTTAATTCCCCTCTGGTGAAGCCTACCAACCAGAAAAAACTAATTGAGCATGTTAAACAAGAAAACTAGTGAGTGAATACAAGGCAGATAATCTCATGATAGGGAGTAGCAGGTCAAAAAATTCTGGTCGCCGAATAATTGAATCCAGCTAAAATGCAATGGTATAGAAATAATAAATGATGCAAAAAATTTGTGTATTAAGATGATGGCTAACAATTCAGCCAGGATATTGACGATCATATATGAGTTCGAGCAACAGGACCCATAATACTTGGAAGCACTTTTAGCCAGGAACCAAGTAGAGGGTGATATTAAGGGAATAGACAGAGATGAGAGAGATATAGAAGAAGAGAAAAACAAGAGGATATGTGAGAGAAGTAGAACTGAGCAGAGTATGAAAAGAAAGAGGGGCAAAAAGGGGAGAGAGAGAATCCAAGAGAGATATTTGACACAGCAAATTTAAATTCTAGACCAAGTATCCCCCCCCCTGAAGGACAAAAGATTACATTGAAACTTCTCCTCAAGGTGAATTAGCAAAAGTATTTTGTCTTGTAATTAACAATTTATTTGCAATAATCCACAAGCACACATTTGTATATGAAGAGAGACAGAGAGAGAGAGAGAGGTCTCGTAGTCATGATCAGACACGGAAAGTCACATTGATAGGTATAGAAATAATTTCACACACAGTAATTACACCATTCCCCCAACCACAATGGAATAATACAGAAACCATAAAACAGTTACAGAAGAAATCGATTTAGTTCCTGTTTCCGGGTAAGGTTAACATGAAAGGTCATTCATTAAGACAAGAATTTTGACCATAAAACAAAAGTACTTAGTTATGTGCCTTGTTATTTCATAAAATAAGAGTACCTATTTATGGTCGATTTGGCGTCCTGACGTAAATTATCAGATATGGCAATAGCACCAATGATCCCTTCTCCTTCCCGACCTACATAAACAACTGTTTTTGAATGGTTTGCCGATGAACTACCTTCTGATGATTGACACATCACAGTTTTCTCTAGGGTCATTAGATCAGGCAGGTTTGTTCTTTGCTGGAAACGTTCATGAACCCATTCCAACTTGCCAACTGCAACCAAAAGCCCATCTACTTCTGCTAAGGTTCCAAAACCTGGTTCAACTAATTGTCCTTGAGTGATTGGGATATTCAAATTCAATGATTCTGCTTTGTTTATAACAGCCTTTGCAATTGGATGTGATGCCGTTTTCTCCACTGCAGCAGCAATCCGCAAGATTTCTGATTCTTGATGAACCAAAGATGCCACAGCAGAAACAGCAGGTTTTCCTTCCGTGAGAGTTCCAGTCTGAAAGTTGAAAAAGTAGCCAAGGTCAATCAATTAATCCTTAATAATCTAGAGAAATAAGAAATGAGAGGAGAACAAATTCAATTGAACTACCTTGTCTAAAGTGACACAATCTATTGCTGACAATCGTTCCAATACATCTCCTCCTCTGATAAGAAGTCCCTGTTTTGCTCCTGTGCAGTTGCCAAATCAAACAAAAGGTAAAGCAAAAGTTACCAAGAAGTATAGTATTTGTAAATGTTGCATACAGCTTTGGTTGCTGGTTGGGCTGGTTTTATTTATAATAAGTAGAGATTTTGAGTAATTCAAAAAGATCCGATAACACAATTGGCACTAATAGTAAATTTAATTTAGACGTGCTGAAGAGCAAAGCATGAAAGAAGGCAACTTTCGGAAGATTTAGATGGAGCCTTCTTTATATAACAAGGGCATTTGCTGCATGAGAAATTAGGAAGGAGGTAGAATATTATTAATTAAGTTTGTAATAAAAGAAAATACATCTCATATTATGAGTGGTTATGCATCTCAATAGACTTGGAAAAGCTGTAAAAATTTAAAACTCAATTTTGGGACCAAATCAAAAAAAAAAAAAAAACACTAAACAAAGAAATACATGTATGAGAGAGAATACATATAGGAGACTTCAATGGTCATATAAGAAAAGACCAAGAAGTATATGAGATGTTACATGGTGACATAAGTTTGGAGATAGGAAAGATACTGGCAAGTCTATTAGATTTTGCAGTGGCATATGATCAAACATGAGCGCAATCAATTTGGACAAATAATGCCATATGTAAGTTTGTATCCAATCTATCCCTCCCAAATCCCCATTAAGCGAAGAGGTCATTAAATGAAATACATATGGAGAGCTTAGGTGTGAAAAATATAACCACCATAGGGAGATTAGTGAAAACAAGTTTCCCCACATAATTTAGGGTGTTCGAAGCTAAAAAAAAGGAAAATTGGCAAAGTTTTGTGAGATCATATACCAACTAAGGTTTGAAAATGCTTAGAACATGTTCTTTGTGGATTTAGAGTGTGTTTTTGCACTTAACGGATGAGGATATCTGTGTTTTCCTATTTACCGTTGCGTCAATAATAGAGTAACAATTAAGACTTGAAACAACATCTGAATCTCAATTAAGATTTATGTTGGACAAATAAACAATGTAAAAGAAAACATGAATATAGATATGGAATAACGGTATGATAGGATACGAATACGACGGTAAAACCTAGAAAATAGGATATGAATGCAACCAGGATGCATCTACAATAAAATATATACATTTTTTTTTTAATTTTGACTATTATACGATGATTTTATAATTATACTTTCCAATAAATTCTTTAGTAACAATTACTACTATGAGTAATTTTTACTTTCAAAGAAGCACGTATCATTTCATTATGGTACACCAAAAGGCAAATGTGGCTAAGTAAAGAAACCAAAACCAACATGTATTTCGCTGGTTTGCTTAGAAGTAGTTATTACTAAGGGATAGGGTGCTATCAACAAATTTTATATCTTTTTAATGTGTGATAATTGATGATGCTTAAGAAACAACCACAAGTCCTCACACCCATACAAGTTTTTATTGTATGTCATTATATAAAGTATAGAGATTAAAATAAAAAAAATTATACATTTACTCCTTGCATCCACTTTCGTATCTGAAGTGTATTTGTGGATGCCCATATCTGAAACATTCAAAAACAAGGAAACGTTTTCCAAGCAAGAAAGGGTTCAATGAACACTGCAGTTCACGATGCATAGCTTCCAACTATCTTGAAAAGGCAAGAACTCTACTTTAGGGGTATAGGTTGCAAACAGAGGTTACTACTTAGCGCTGCCCTGCGATGGGGACAAAAGACGATATATTAAACATTGGATACATATGATGAGTATCCATTACGTATCCTCCTATATCAAACTACTAGCTAACTGGAGTATCATGTTTCATATATGAAAACTATATACTTATTTAGGAGACTAACGAAGATATATGGAAAGATGAAAAAAAAATTCTTTATGATTTTGAGTAAAATTCAGTTTACTTCCTTGTGGTTTGAGAGATTTGCACTTCACCCCTCTATGGTTTGGAAATCAGCAAATCACCCATGTGAGCTTTTGGACTAAGTGCTACTATTATAATTTATAAATTCCGTCCAAATTGACAGAATTTGCGATGCACTTGTGTAATTTGAGAGTAAGTTGTGCAAAACATTCCATTCAAAGTCAACTTTAAATGAAAAAGGACACAATACCCATGTATTAGTTATGAAAAACCAAAAAAGGTCCAAAGCGGGCAAATTGCTTGGACTATCCAATTTATGGACCGCCCCAGCTAAGGATCTAAATGTCGTGTCGAAACGTCCGAAACGTTTTGGAATTTCAACACACTGATACGAAACATAGGTTGAATCCCAAAATTCAAAAGTTTCGGTCGAAACATTACTGTGTCGGACCGTTTCCATCGAAACATTACCGTTACGGTCGAAATAGTACAGTTTTGAGGAAACAGTGATCACAAAAAGTTAAAAATTCGTTTCAGGCCAAAAGAAAAAAAAAACAAAAACTTTGAGAAAGCTAAAGATTCCACAAGCAAGTCAAAATTCACAGGTCCTCCAAGCTTAGAAATCACATGTCGTTGAGATCTTCCAAGCCAAAAAATAAAAAAAAAACGGAGAGAAGAGAGAGAGAGAGGCAATCGAAGAAACAGAGACTATAGACCAGAAATTGAAGGAGAAAAATTCAGTAACTTATCTCCTTGTGCAGATCCAACCATTTTTCACCAGATCTAGGGCTTGGGAGTTGTCTTCATCGCTGCGAGCTACCACTGACCACGAGCAACCACTGGTATGTTCTTCTTCTTCTTCTTCTCTCTCTCACGGCATCGCCAGTCGCCCCCTCTCTTTCGCATCTCGTCTCTCAGACAGAGTCGTTATGGGTCTACACTGTGCATCTTCTACCTTTAATATATATATATATATATATATATATATATATATATATATATTTTGATAAGTATGAATAATTATATTTAATACCTCTCTGTAATTATATTTAATACCCTATTGTAATTACATTTAATACCCTATTGTAATTAGATTTAAAAGTTAATACCCACTGTAATTATATTTAATACCCTATTGTAATTACATTTAATACCCTATTGTAATTATATTTAATAGTTAATACCCATTGTAATTATATTTAATACCCTATTATAATTACATTTAATAGTTAATACACACTGTAATTATATTAAATACCCTATTGTAATTACATATAATTACATTTAATGTAGCCATAAGTATGTACTCATTAGCATTTCATGTGTATTATAAGACCTTAATATTATGTAAAAATGTATTTATTTGATAAAAATTAAGTGTTTGAAACTAATTTAAGTGATTTTCGCCTCATGCCAAGCCTTTTTTTCCTCCAATTTAAATTTATTCTTGTATAAATGGATTTTAACCCAAAAAATATATTGAATTAATCAATTATTTAGCTTATAAATTAATGGATTGTATTTGTGTTTCCATGCGTTTCTATTGCGTTTCCGAAACGTTTCCGTTTTTGAACTAACCGAAACGGTACTTCGAAACGAAATTTCGATCCTTGGGCCCAGCTTAGGCATTGGTTCACTGGGTTTCTGGTCTGGTTTTAGTAACATTGCTTATGGTAGACCTTAGGGAAGTAAATAATAAGATGGTTTTAGAAACAAGAAGAATTACAAATAGGTATGTTAATTTGAGTTAGGGTGCAGTAACTTTGATGAGAACGACTGCAAAGAATAGTGAATTTTCGTTTGTTGTAAACTAACATCAAGGTTACTCCTTAAGTTCATATTTTTTGCATTCGTTGTGGATGAATACCTAGAGAACATTCAGAATAAGGTTTTGTGACGTATGTTAGACGATATAGTATTTATCAATAAAACTAAAGTAAAAAATACAATTAAAATAGAAATTGGGAAAGAAGCCTTAGAATCAAAAGGGGTTTAAGATAAACAAAAATAAACTTGAACATACAAAATATAACATTAGTAGATGTAGAGATTCAAATAGTGAGATAGCAAACATCGAAACCAAGAGCTATCAAAGAGAACACTTTCAATATTAGGTATTAGTTATCCACAAGCGAGATTACAAACAATGCTACAGATAAAATTAAAGTAGATAAATTGGAGGATTGCATCAGTAATGTGTGATCGACATAGACCTCTTAACTACGTGGTTCAAAGTTGAGACATTGACTCGGATGTTCGTAGTGATTCAAAGTCAACAGTTTCCAGCCACCAAAGGTACCATCTGGATCGACTTTAGAGGAGAGTATTATGGTGATTTTTTTTTAATTTTATGGAAGCTATCTGATTTGAGTTTCCTATTTTTGAATATTTTTTGAAAAATAGGGGTATTTTTTGGATTTGCCGTTTCAGACTTGTTTTGCTGAATTTTTTGCTTAGATCTGGGTTTATGGGTGCCGATTTGGACTAAGGAGGAGTCTCCTGTGTTGCCCAGTTGATTTGGAGGTGTTTTGATGCAAAAACAGTGCCGATTCCATTGTTCTCCGCCTGAACAGTGTGTGCTGTTTCATTGCTGTTTTGGCCTCTCTGGGATGTTATGAGAACAGTAGGGTTGATTTGTGCTGTTGTACAGCCTGTTTGGGTTGCTTTCGAGGTGTTTTTTGGAGCCCAACAGTGCCGATACCACTGTTCCTGATCAATGTTGTTACATTGTTTTTTGGTCTTTGTGGGATGGGTTGAGAGCTGCTGGGTTGATCTGTGGTGTTGGTTGTTGTGGCGTCGACATTGACAGTGGATTTGGTACTGGTCGTCAGGTTTCTTGGCCTCTGTGGTGTTCTTTGAAGTCTGGTTGTGCAATTTGGGTTGCCGTGTACGTGAATTTGGGGTGTTTGAATCAGATTCCTTGGCTCTTTTGTGGTTATTTTGGACAATAGCCTGCAACTAGCTTTGGATTTCTCTATCCTCTAGTATCGCCATCTAGTCGACATTGCTGTTGTGTTTGTCTAGTTGACATTTCTGTTGTTTGTCGATCCAACCGTGATTGGTCATCTCGGACAGTTTCTTTGGCTCCATCATTGGTTGTTTGTGTGGTTGAGGATTGTTTGTAGTCTATTGATTCCTCGTAATAGCCAACTTGAATGGCGGTAGTGGTGGGGGACATGGTCCACTCCTTGGTACAGGTCTTGGTGGTCGAGGTACTAGCTATAGTATACTTGGTGGTCGTCATAGTCGTGGATATCATTATTAGTGGAACTATACTTATTGTAGTGGCACAGAACATACTGAGTATTATTGTTGAGATAAGTATAGAGACTAGTATATGCTAATCCTACTTCTACTAATGGCCCAATTGCTTGGTTTTGGCTCTCATAATGATCTTTCTTCTCAACTTAATAACCTCATTCACAAGTTCTCTTCAGTTTCTTCAAGTTTGCCTGCTACCACTGCCAGTTTTGCTAATGGAGGTAACTCAACATGTATAGTTAGTTACTCAACCTTCTTAGTCTTTTTGGATCATTGATTCAGGAGCTAGTGCTCATATGTATGGTATGTCATCCCTTTTCTCTAACTTTTGTGTGCCATATACACATGTTGTGTTAACAGATGGTTCTTTTCGACTGGTATATGGTACTGACGATCTCTCTCCTACACGGTCTTTGTCATTAAGCTTTGGTTCATTCATTCTTGATTTTTCCTTTACTTTTGCTATATTTGAGTCAGTTAACCAAGTCCTTATAGTGTTTAAGAAATTTTCTCCATCTTCTTGTGTTTTTTAGAACCTCAAGACAAAGACGGTGATTGGTGTGGGACATGAACACAATGACCTTTATTACTTGGATCGTAGACGTTCTTTTCCAAGCTTTAGTGCTATTGTGTCTCCTCTCCAGTGACATTTTCACCTAAGCTATCCTTCTTTGCAGAAGTTGTATCAAGTCATCTCCAGTTTGATTTTCAGTATTTTGTGATCTTTATTGATAATCTCTCTCGTATGACTTGGTTATTTCTTATGAAAGACCGATCTAAGTTACCCAAGGTCTTTACTACCTTTTATAATAAAATTCTGACTCAATTTGATATTCGTATTAAAATACTTCGGTCTAACAATACCCTTGAGTATACTCAATCATTTATGAAAGTCTTTTGCGCTGAACATGGCATTATCCATCAAACCACCTGTCCTCGTACCTCCAAACAAAATGGTATTACCGAAGGTAAGCTTCGTCATTTGTTTGATATTGCCCGTACCTTGATGTTTAACATACATGTGCCAAAATCATATTAGACTGATAATGTTCTTACTTCAGTTTATCTTATTAATCACACGTCTTCCCCCATTTTGGACAACATATCTCATTTCTTGTTATATCCTGATAAGCTGTCATTTAATTTCACTCCTCATATCTTTGGTTGTGTTGCATTTGTTCATCGTATTGATTTGGATAGGGATAAACTTTCGCCTTGCTCGGTTATGTGTGTCTATCGCTGATACTCCCATAGACTCCATGGTTAAGTTGGATGATGATAGTGGTAGAAGTGTTTGATGATGTAGGACGTTATTGAAAGTTGGTTGGTAAGTTGATTTACCTTACAATGTCCTGACATTACCGATGTTCGTATGGTTGGTTAGTTCACTCATGCTCTTCATAAGTCTCATTGGGAGGCT